GAGAAGGTAATATGATGATGATGTTTGTGATTTGATGGGAATGCGCATGTGTTGTTCGTTCCATATGGTTGCTATTGAAATGTCTCAATTTTTGCGAAAGACTAAATTCGTATAGAAACTTTTTTTTTTTACAGAAAAAATGTGAGGCAAAAAACTGGGACGTCAATTAAGCGGGCATATTAAGCCAGAGTATGTGTTGCGCTAAAAAAAAATCTGCTCACTTGAAATATTGTACCGTATAATGCTGGATATTATTTTATTCATATTGACGTCAACTCAAATTTATCTTCTCCTTTTATCGAATTTATTTTACGCATGAGGTGATTATAGTTTTTAGGGCTAAAAACGCAAGTGAATCTGTTCAGAATACACTTTATTGCGGTCCTTTTCAATTATGCTTCAAAAATTGCAAAGACACGATAGGAAAATCTGTTTTATTCATTTTTGGATAAAGCGTCTGGAAATTGATGCATACAGTGCTTTTTTTTAGAAAGCGAAATATATTTTGATAAATCGAGTGCTGCAGTGATTTTCAAAAAGTAGAGCATAGTTCGAGATTATTCGAAAAAAATTAGATTGAAAGTTTCTTTCATTGTTCTTGTTAGAACGTTTTAAAATTTTGAAATGCTGTTGAATCAATAATACGTCTACATTTTTGATTGTAGCACTTCGATCTCCGATCGCAATTTTTCCCTTGTACATTGTAAGGGTGAGAATATTTTTCACAGGAAAATGCTTTTCAATGTTGGACATTGTTTCTAAGAACTTCGTTCAAACTTTAAAACGTTTTGGGTTTTTAATGTCTGTGATTCCCATAAAATCATGGGGTTGCATGTAAATCACATTTGTGTGGACTTTTTTTTTCTTTCTTTAAATTCCAAACCGAAAGCGCTACAATTGAAGTTTGGGAGATGTTTGTTCCTGGCCAAATTTGAAACTTCAGCCCGGAAATTATATAAAAAAACACACTTCTTGTAAATAATGACAAACATTTTATGAGGGAATCACCAGACCAACAAATCAAATGGAACGAAAAGCTCACATCAAATAAATCTTCTTGACACTACTGTTATTCATATCGCGTTTTTATGCCATCATTTTTGTACACCTTGTTTTTCTCAAGAAAAAAAAGAAGTGTGCAATCTTTTTTATGCCCGAGATGCTTACGAAAACTTTGAAAGATCCGGGGTTTTAAACGTTTGTTCGTTGATTCACGAATGCTTTCGTTTCTTCGCAGGGTTTGCAAGCCATCCGTTGTCCTCCGGGTCTGTACTTCGACATCGAAGCTCAGACCTGCAACTGGAAAGACCAGGTCAGCAACTGCAATAAAAAGAACAAGGACAGGAAGGCCAAGCCGTTGTTGGCGACCGACGAGCCCTTGTGTCAGGTCAGTTTTGTTTTTCGCATTTTCACTCGAGAAATTCATCCCGAGTGTCGCGAATTCCGTGGTTATAAACTCAGGTACCTTATTTATTACTGTATTTCATTTAATTTTAATTTTTGGACATGAGATTTGATTATAGAACAGTATTACACTAATTATTCACCCGGTAAGTTAGCTTGACTATATTATCCACTGGGAGGTGTTTCATGACGGATCAGCAGCTGCTTTAAAAACATTCTTTTTTATTTCTTTGTGAAATTGAAAGTTAAGGAACATCTGAATCAGTAGATACAAGTGACCCGACGTGAACCGTTTCGAAACATGTATTTATTGCTCAATATATTACCAGAAGAAATATTCACCTATAAATTACAGTGAGACC